CTGCCATTTGCAGCAACATGGATGGACCTAAAGATCATCATACTAAGTGCAGTAAGTCAGATAAAGATCATTATTTGACATCACTTTTATGTGGAATCTAAAAAATAATACAAATGAATCTATTTACAAAACAGAAACAGAAACAGACACAGACGTAGAAAACATACGTATGGTTACCAAAGGAGGAAGCAGGTAGTGATAAATTAGGAGTATGGGATTAACAGCTGCACACTACTATGTATAAAATAGGTGAAGTACAAGGATTTATTGTATAACACAGGGAACAATATTCAATATCTTATAATAACCTATAATGGAAAATAATCTGAAAAAAAATAAGTGAATCACTTTGCTGTACACCTGAAACTAACACAATACTGTAGATCAACTATGTAACTAAAAAAATCTCAATCCAGATTGTTCTTGTGCTTTTTCTCACACTACAAGTTTGTTAACTTGTTCACTGGTATTGATTTCTTTCTTACCTCGTCACCTTTTTTTTCAAACAATTGTGCCAGTTCCTATCAGTTTTGGAGCATCACTGAATGTTCAGTCACGTAGGGACAGCAGCAAAACTGCAGTGAGAGGTGTATGCTGGTTAGCCGGGGAGGTCCACTCACCAGATGACTGATTCATGTTGTTGTCTGAAAAACTACACATGACTACATATCGTGGGCCTTTGGTCACACAAAATGAGGACACCAAGACCTACTCAGACTCTCTACAACTTACCTAGAGTTTTATTGTGTTATATTGTGCCAATTTCCTTTAAGAAGAAGTCTCGACAGCAATTATTTACTGAGTGAGTACATATATGCATGACTGGGACATTATGCTGTACACCAGAAATTGACACGTTGTAACTGTACTTCAATTTAAAAAATAAAATAAAATAAAATGAAAAAAAAGAAAGAAAGAATGAAAAAGAAAAAGAAAGAAACTCTGCAGAAAGAGAGGGAAAAAAATAGTAAGTGAGAAACTGACCCGGGACTTACTGTCTTAACAGGCCAGAATCAGTCCGGTTGTGTGAGGACAGGTGCTGACACCTAAACGCCTCTTGGGGGCGCTGTTCCTTCTTCAGAACAGCACTTAGGAATCAGGGCTCCTCATGCTGACCTGAGATCCATCCTCATGTGTGATCGATCAACTGATGTGTTTAGTCCATGAATAATTCTGATTCTGCCATCAAAACCCTTCACCCGTTTCTGTCAGTGAGACTGGGGAGACCCCGGCTCAGGAATCCTGCTCGGCTGACTTCCGGTCCTCATCAGGAAACTGGAACATTTCTGACCAGGCAGCGTAAAGCGCAAAGTATACCCCTGGGTGCACTTTAAATCTCACTCTGAATAATTAATCGATGTGCATCACTCTCTGCTCTGCTGAATGTTTACTTACACAGTATTTTCACCTCAAACCAAGTTGAACCATTTCAGAGAACTTTTGACCCAGTAATACCACTTCTAGAAATTTCTTCCTTAGAAACACTTGTACAAGGGCACAAAAGTATATGTGTTAGAACATCCATTGCAGCGCTGCTTGTACTATTTAAAAAATTAGGAAACATTTAAATGTCCATCCATAAGAGAATAATGAAGTAACAATAACTATGGTATCTCTATACTCTGGAATTCCATGTAAGTGTTAAGATGGAATGCAATGAGCTACATCAAGTCACAAGAAGCAAGCTGCAGAATGTATTAAGTACCTTCGCTTTTGTTAAAAAAAATCATAAATATTTATCTTACGTATACTAAAAAGTGTTTAGACGCACATACAGTATACCAAACTCTAGAGGAAGATTGTTTTTAAAATTTATATGTTGTTTGCATGAAAACAGCCTATGTATTCATTTTATAATTTAAAAAAAGTGTTTATTTTTGTCATTTTAGAAAAAAGAAAGTACAAAATCAGGTCTGGTTTTTATCCTCAGCTGGTGTAAGCTGAGTCTTCTGTCACTTGCTGGTCCCTGTTACCCTTCAGGGAAAGGTTTGGGACAGAATTATTACTGAAGACATCATTCTCACCCCACAGTCAATGTTTTGGCCAAGACCAGCTTTCCGTGACTGCAGAGTTAGGTTCTACCAGGAAACACTCGGCACAGCTGCCCTCTCAGTCTTGGAGCTGGCACCCAGGGCACTCACCAAGAGGCCTAGCTTCCATCCACCGGTGGGGCCCTTGCTGTGAAGCTCTGAGGGCTGGGACTGGGCATGTTGTTGGTCTCTGTATCCCCTGAACCTAGCGCTGGGCCCGGTGTGTTGCTACTGCTCAGTAATTGTTGAAACAATGTCTTGAAGGAAGAGTTTTTGATCCCCGTTGGCTTGATTTTCATGTCTTGGAGAAATGGGGTGTCTGTGACGATGTCTGGCAGTTCCTGGGTCACGAGTCCCAGGTTGTCTCCTGGGCTCCTCATTTTGTAAAGTTGTTAAGCCCGTGGCCTGGCCTCCTGAGCAGCACCTGATGAAATCTTAACATACAGGAGCAGACGCCAATTCCTGGACTCAGAAATAATACTGCGGATTTGACATGTTTCAGCAGTGTGCAGAATGTTTCTGCTACACAATAACTAGATGTAAATGGTAACAGCCTTCTATAAGTAATGGTAAGTGGGGTTCATGGCCATAGCAAAATCAAGCACTTCTGGGGCATCTTTGGGGCCAGGGTGCCAAAGACAGGCCTCTAAGTGGACTTGCTCCTGCTCTGAGATCCTTCCAGATATGCTGTGGACTCCAAATCCAGGCCCACCCAGATACTAGCTCTCTATTTCTGAAAAAGGAAGACAGTCCCCAGCTGTGAGCTCTCAGAGCTGAGCCCCAAGCTCCCCTTTTCCCTGTGAAGTTCTCCCCAGCCTCCACCCCGACAGAGAACACATGGCAGGTGGCTCTGCTTTGCCTAGCTCCTGGCCCAGGATCCTGGGGCCCTGCTAACCAAGGTGGGGCCTGGTAGGTTGATGTTTAGTGAAAATGCCCACATATACTCAGTTCAACATTCAGAAGGACAGAAAACAAAAAAAGTCTCCCTTCCTAGTCTATAAACACCAACATTCCAGAACTACTCAGTGTGTGTAGGGGTCCAGGTCCAACCATCACACTGTGGCAGGTGGCAGGTGGCAGGATAATCTAATAATATTTTTGTTGGGCTCTCTCTATATTTCTTTCTGAGGGGGAGGTTATTAGGTTTCTTCATTGATTTCTGCTTGGAGGAGGTGCTGGGGATTGAACCCAGGACCTCGTGGGTGCTGAGCAAGTGCTCTCCACTTGAGCTATACACTTCCCCCTCTCTACATATTTCTTAATTGTAAGCAACTCGCCAGGTGTTGTATGTCCTTGCCTTAAGAATTCTGATGAGGCAGAGACTAAAAGCCTGAAAAGAAGTCGATCTGTACTAAAAACCAAAGGCCACTGAAGAGATGATGGGATGTCCTGGAGAATAGGCGGGGAGGGCCTTGGAGAAATGGTGAGATGAGGAGGGCAAGCTCCTGCCCAGCAAGGGCAGAGAGGTCTGGGGGCCCCTTGAGGGTAGCAGGGCCACCACCACTCCATGAAAGCCTGCTGGAGGTGGCCACATGGCAGGATGGCCAGGGGAGGCAGCTGTGGCCCCAGAGCCCAGCACCAGCAAAGACCTCACATCCCATGAATGCCAGGAAGTAGGGTCTCCTGGGCACGGAGGGCAGGTGTCAGTCAGTACTTCCCTCATAAGCCTTGGGGATTCAAAACAGCCCTCAAAACAGACTTCAGTGAAAAAGAACGAAGGACCGACAACATGGACAAAAAATCCAGAATAGGCAAATCTACAGAGGTAGAAAGCAGATTAGTGGCTGACAGGGGGTGGGGGAGAGGGGCATGGGGAGTTACCGCTTGGTGAGTACCAGGTTTCTTTTGGGGGGGACAAAAATGTTCTGGAATTAGATAGTGATGATGGTTGCACAATGTTGTGAATATACTAAAAGACACTAATTACAGACTTTAAAATGGTTTAAATGGTGAATTTTATGTTATGTAAATTTTATCTCAATTAAATGAATGAGAATTTTCTACCACCCTGGTGGATGGTGACCTGAAGTTAAAATTAAGTTGATTTAATAGAAAAGGAAATGTTTGGTTTTTTTTCCCCTAACCTCTGAGCTTGTGGGCCAGGATTCATATCTAGTATCTAACCTAAGAAAAGGAGTCTGAATCAATATCCTGAGATACAGCAGAACCTGTGTTTCCCGGGGAAGGAGCTCTAGAGATAGGGACATGGAATGTGTTAGAAAGAAAAACATTGCCCAGGGGAACAAAACTGGGTCCCTGATGACCTCGGAGCTCTCAGTCCAGTCCTGGGCTGACCAGCTCCCGACTTCCTTTATGGGAGAAAAACTCTTTCTAGTTTGTCACTATTACTGGGGTTTTCCCTTATAGTCTGATGAACCGAGTCCAAAGGAATGCAGTGTCCTAGAGAATGCATGATCTGAAGCATTAGCAGAAGTTAGGCAGGCAAATTGGTGTGCACGGGGGCTACAAGTTGGGATTAGAAGGACCAAGAGGAAACGTATTCCAAGCAGAGGGGAGAGGATGTTTGCTGGCCTGGAGGAAAGACAGAACATCGCTGGGTGTGTCTGGGGCCAGCAGCGAAGGGGTAGAAGGGGATGAAGCCTGAAATGTGAGCAGGGCTGAGACCATGAGGGACCTTGTAGCCTTGTAAAAAGTTGGACCTAACCCATGGATAGAGGGGGCCCTAAAGGACTGGTGAGATTTGTATTTTCAGAAGATCCCTCTGGTGCTGGGACAGGCTGGACTGGAGGGAACAAGAGTTGAGGGAGACCATTAACAGGCTGGGGCTGTGGTCCCTCAAGAGAGGAAATTGACTTGTACTTGGTGCGTGGCTGTAGGAAGGGAGAGGAATGGGCACACTGAGACTTGGAAAGTGAGAAATCATGGGAGTTGGTACCTGACTCGATTTGGTTGGGGGAGAGAGCAGGAAGGTTGAGGATGAGGAATCATGGACTGAAATAGGAAACAGACATGGGATTGGGACTGAAGAAGGAAGATGCAGGCCTGGGCGTGGAGCCTGAGGTGACCGTGGGTCAGCCAGCGAACCTGCCTGTGAGTGAAGACCGTCGAGGGAGCCCTGGCCTGGAAGCCAGAAGAGCAGCCACCAGGCGCTTGCCTGGTGCCGCCTTCAGCAGTGCCTTTGACCTCTCTCATTCCGACTCAACCTGAACTGGGGATGTTGTCAGTTAATGTATGTAAAAGCTACTGGCACTTATTAGATGCTCAATCAACGGTAACTGAATCCACGCGTCGCCTTGGTCTTTTACTCTCATGTGCTCTCTGCTTCTGTCATTTCCACTTCTGTTAAGAGTCAGGGCCAAATCACTGCCCTCAGCCCTCTGCTATGGCTCCAGCGCAGCCCAGAGGAAAGCCCCGCATCTTCCATGAGACCCACTGCGTGGTCTGAACGAACTTTATTCCGATTTTAACAGAGGACAAGCAGGAGGCTGGCAGGTGGAGGTGGATTAGAAGACAGGTCCTACCCCCCGGCCCGTCCCCGCCACCTCCCCCCACCCCCGCTCCAGGATCCAGGCACCCCGCTCCGCAGCATCTGGCTTCCTGCCGAGGGGGCG